GGCCCATAAGCAGCTGAGGAGGGGAAGGAAAGGGTCTGAGGCTATGAGGAATGGTGGGAAGGCCCCTTCCTTTCCCCCCTCAGCCACTTAAGGAAAGGAAAAGGAAGGGGCCTGAGGCTGTAAGAAATAGTGGGAGTTGAAGTCCAAGCCACCTGGAGGGCACAAGTTGGCCCATGCCTGGTCTGGATGCACACTTGGAAGATCTATAGTTCGGTTTGGGCTTCTTTTTTAACTACAGCACCTGTATTTCTTTCTCTAGCCAAAGCAAAAGCTATCACTTCTTGCGCCTCTTTTGCCGGCTCTTCTTTGAAATGTTCCTTTTCTAAGCGACTCAGCGTGACACTCCTTTCCTCACGTCGACCGCACACGCGTGCGATTTCCTTTGAGAAGGAAGAAACAGGTCAGGAAATGATGCTGTGACCAAACAAACAGATGCTCCTTGAGAAGAAGAGGAGGTGGAGGAATGAATGAATGAATGAATGAATGAATGAATGAATGAATGAATGAATGAATGAATGACCAGGCTTTCCAAGGCATCTCCCCCTTGAGGGGCCGAAGAGCAAGAGGCAGGCGCTGGACTCTCTTTAGGATTCGTCCTTCGTCTGCTTGTCACCCTCCAGACAGAAGGGACGAGATGGAGTGCAACGATAAGGCATGTGTCTCCATGGCAAGAGGCAGCACGAAGCCACATTCACCCCTCAGCACTGCGTTGGCACTTCTCCTCTGGCAGGAAAAGCTGCTGTCTCTTAAATCTAGCAGAAGTGGACCCTTTTGGACATTTAGAACATTGTTTTCCCCATCTGCTCCCCCACCCCTCGCCCCATGATGCAGCTATTGCCATCAATGCTGTTAGTAAATGTTTTACAAGAAGCCCTTGTTTTCCATTAGGTTTTGGTTCAAGGATCCCCATGGATACCAAAATCCCTGGATGCTCAAGCCCAATAATATAGTAAATCCACACACACACACCCTTTATCGTATGCAGTGGCAAAATAAATCCCTTTTATACACATTTAAGTCTTTTTTAATGGCAAGGACATGACTGAGCATTATCAGACACCTTTTTCAATGATGCAACTAGTGCTACTATCAATATTGTTAATAATCCCCTTGGTATCCACTGAGGTTGGTTCCCTATGGATATCAATATCAAAATCCCTGGAGGCTCAAGTCATACCATATACAAGTAGTAAATCCCCTATAAATACACATTTAGGGGTCTTTTAAATGACAAGAACATGGCATTGCTTCATTGGATGCTTTTTTTTTCTATGATCAAATATTGCTGCTTATTAATGTCCAATAGTATCCATTGGGATTTGGTTCCAGACCATCATAGATATTGGGGAAACCAGGAATCTCCACAGGCTTTTGGAAGTGTGACCCTTTTGGAGATTAATTGGCATTCACACTATTTGGAATAATCATAACTTTTTGGAAAGGCATGACCTTGTTAGAGATCATAACCTTTTGAAAAGTATGATCTTCCTCGTTTTAGTCAATCCTCTCCTTGGTGGTAAGGTAAAGGTAAAGCTTTCCCCTGACATTAAGTCTAGTCGTGTCAGACTCTGGGGCGTGGTGCTCATCTCCATTT